GGGGGGGTGCAGCTTAGTGCAAAGGCTCTGGATTTAATCCCTAGTACCCAACAAAAACAAAAATTATTAATGTTGAACTTCTTGACTTGAGCCCGCAAGTCTCATAAGACTGTTCAGTGAGGCTACTACGAGAATTTCATGCAGTTTCCTATGTTACATGGTTCAGATGGGAATTTCATTTAGCTAGTGACTGCTGGACCAAATCAAATAATCACATCGATAATATCCTGCTGGGTCAGAGTACCCCATATATGATAATGTCACTTGACATTTTCTTGACACCCTTGGATCTTGCAATCCAAGCTTGCACACCACTACTGGAGTGTTTATTCATTTGCTTTCACATTATATATGCTTATATAAAAATTCTTTTCCAGGCAGACATATTAACTTCCTTGTTAAAGCTTCATATAGTTTGAGTAGTATTTTTTTAATTTTTTATATTAATTTTATTGAAAAAGAAATAGCATTGAGGGGCTGGTGAGATAGCTCAGTGGTCTAAAGCACCTACTTAGAACAAGCTTAGCAAAAAAAAAAAAAAAAGCTTAGCAAAGCACAGGGACCACGGTTCAATCCCCCAGCACCACATGCCAGCCAGCCCTGCCCCCAGGTGGGCTGAGCTGAGCTGGCCACACACACACACACACACACACACACAAATAAATAAATAATTTTTTTAAAAAAAAAGAATAGCATTGAGACAGTTTCAAAACAGGTTAGTAGGACAGTTACAATAATTAATACATCACATATTGTTGTCTTCATAGTAGTTATTCATAGTACAAGACACAGATATGATATCTTGTCTAAACATTATAAGTACAAATCTCACTTAAGAGAAAGTAGCTGTATATTTATCCTATTTTGTATATACATATATAGATATATATAGATATAGATATAATTTTTTTTTCTGGCTCAGGCTGCCTTAAAGACAGGTCTGATAAGGCATGTGGAGCTGGGTATCCAACGGCGGTAGCCTGTGCCTGACTGCGTTTGCATAAGCAGGCGCTGAAACAACTGAGCTAACCAGCAGACCCCGTGCTTCACATTTGTTAATAGCTTTATTACACCCAACCCTGGATGCTGATTCTTAAAGATGTTCCCAAATTCTTGCCTGTATTCATAATACTGAATTGTGGAAGGTTTTCCCAGCCTAAATTTCCTCTCAGTATGTCTTAATTTAAAATTGTAATTCCAGGTTACAAAGAAAGGTCAGTTGGTGGTCTAAGTGCCTGCCTAGGCAAGTGCAAGGATCCAGGTTCAATTCCCAATACCACATGCCCTGATGGGATGGTCTCGGGCTCATCGAGCCAGGCAAGAAGACCGGGCATGGTGGTGCACGCCTGTAATCCCCGTCACAAACTCCATGTTTAAGCTTTGCTTTGTAAGGTTTCTACTAAATATTCATCTCACTAACTTCCTACTTGGGTAAAAGGAAGTAGTTTATTTCTTCTTATGTATTAAGAGATTTTTGTTTTGGAAAAAAAGTCTTCAGTGAGGAATTATAAATTTATTTAATTTTTATTTATTTATTAATGCATTTGGTACAGGTTCTCACTACACAGCTCAGACTCATAGTGATCCTCCTGTTTTCAGCCTCCCCAGCACTTGGGACAGTGATATAGACCTGTAATTCCAGCTATTCTGGGCTAAAGCAGAAAGATCACAAATTTGAGGGCACCCTGGGCTACTTAGCAAAACTCTAACAAAATAAAAAATATATAAG